AAAGCCAACCCATTCCAAAGACCAACCACCCTGTTAGAAAAATAAAACTGTCTTAGTTGAAGATGACTCTTACTGTGCCAAAAGTTATAGTCCTACTATTCTCACTGTTAAGTATGAAGAAAGATGATGCATCCACACTATCAATTCCCTTTACAATTTTAAACTCATCAATCAGATCCCCACTAACTCTTCTTTTTTCAATCTCTCCTCGTATGATAACTCAGGCATTTTGTTATTCACGTAAGAACTCTTACGACTCAATAAAATTCCATGCAATAAAAAGTTTTATAGAGCTTAAACCTAATTATTTAATTTATTGCATAAGAAAAGAATATAAAAAAATATTGGATTTAACTCTTAATATTTACACATTTACCTCTACATTCTTATTTTTGAAGTAATTACATATATGATTACTTAAAACGGCATGAATATATATAAGACTGATTTACCTGGCCGAAGACTCAGTATCACATCCCACCAATCAATTCCTGTTATTAAACAATATTCCAACACTGTCACAGCATAGATCGTGCTCATAGGACCCCCTAAGTTAGAGTATAAAACAATATTTAATTTTTCTTTAGACTAGCGATTTTGTATGTGAAAAGTTTGAATTTCAGTCATAATCAACGATCTCTGTTTGTATAAAATTCACTTTTTTAATGTTTGCATTAAATATAATTGAAAAAGTAATTTTTGTCATTACATGACCTGCAATTTTATGAACTCAAAAATATTTGTAAACTGAGTTTTATCAAATGGATTTTCAGAGTTGAAGAAAAACCTGGCTTTCATACTTGCTGCATTCTAGTCAAAAAGTTATTATACTCTCTAAAAAATCTGTAATCTTTTATTTAAAACCCAACTGAATTTCTGGAGTTTTACACATGTGAATAACTAAATCCAATAGACAAAAAAAAACAACTTTTCTTTCCATAGTGCTATCATCAGTCATAAGATAACATTTCAGTAACACAGGAAACATGAGTACATCAATATAATTTTGAAAAAATATTCTGCATTATAAAGTGTTTGATTAGAACTTGGGTCAATGAAATTACAAAAAAAAATGCAAATTAAACATGTAAATTAAAATTAAATAAAATGCAGTGCAAAAGAGGTTTAAGTGATAACTAACAGTATAATAAAATATGGCAGTTAAGATTTACAACTCTATTGCCATTTTAAACGAAAGTACATGATTTATTTCACAAGAAAGAAAACATTTACAGTTTATCTATCGACTCTCATCTATCTATACGAAGTTTAGTTTCCATTTTGCATCTAGACTTTGTTTTATACAACACTGTTTTCTTTTTCTTTGATTTTTACTTTATACTCTGATACAAGTTTAATAAAAACTAAGTACGTTTCAGAAGCCTATAAGTTATTTTTGAATGTTTACAGGACTAATAATCTGCTGTCTAGACAGTGAACATTTAATATTTTTGGGATTCAACAAAATCATTATGCAGTAAAAAAGTTTTCTTGGAGCAAAAATTAAAATTATGAATAACTTGGAACAAGTTAACTAACAAAGAAAGATGTCAGATAAGAACAAATATATAGTATCTGCTCAAAGTGGAGGAAGAACATACAATAACAACATGTGAAAGAACAAAGAAATTGCATACAAAATAAACTCTCAATTAGCATCATAACAACAACATAAAAAACAATTTTAATTAAATCAAATGGATTTATAGACAACTTAAATTTGTAGAAGAAACATCTGACACAAGGAAAAACAAAAAATAAAAACCAAGTCTCTAAGTGCTACCTCATTTATGGCAAACTTCCATCAGTGGAAGACAAATCAGTCACAATAAAAACAGTTTGCGGCACAGAAAGATGATATTCATTGGTTTACGAAAAAAGACCAACTGCTGTGTGTGCGTGTGTGTGTGCCAAAATGACCGATATAATACTGACAACTTTAAATTCCAAATATGACACATCGATTGTATAACTCGCATCATATTTGAAGAGCAAAAAAAAAAGATAGATGTAGTAATTACAGTATTATCTGTAACTTATTTTGCTATTTTTTCACTCTTAGTTTTGTTCTAATTTCTACTACTCTAAATTGCTTCATTCTTTCATCAGAATGTTTTATAGATTATAAGATTAATAAATATATCACCATACAATTACATTGTTACACATTTCGCATCTCGTGAACTGGAGCTAGAACATATAGTGTTATCTTATAAATATACACAAAGATGTTGTTTTTGTGTTTATTCAATCAAGCTAATGACAGTCCTAAAACAGGAGCTGAATGTTTGTTTAAAAAGTTGTCAACGTCTCAAAAAACAATTTCTTTTATGCATAGTTACTTATTTAAATTATCCAAGTTTTTAAAAGCAGTATTTTTTTGATTGGAATTGAGTGAGATTTGAAACCTAAACAAGAAACCACAATGACTAGTTTTTACTCTAAAGAAGAGTTTATAGTAATTAGAAATAGTACAAAATTTAGGTCTATCTTTAATTAACATTTGAATTTGTGATGTATAAAGTAAACATATAAGTGGCATTAACACACTGTTAACTTACCTGGATCTGTAATGGGTGATAGTCTATAGAGAAGAAGTTCTGAGAGAGAGTTGATTGCTATTAGAGCAGATCCCGTCCAAGTAAGTTGCATGTCTGACACTGTTGTCCCAGGCACATGTTGTACCATTCCTGAAGCACAAAGAAAAACATAATGATGTATGATGAAACCAAACTATAAGACACAAAATAACAAAGGTTATATCAAGTAATAACACAAGAAAAATAACTGTCACATTGATCATATCATACAACACCAGACTACATGAAATAACAATGATCAGATTGTATCATACAACACCAAACTACATGAAATAACAATGATCAGATCATATCATACAACACAAGACTACATGAAATAACAATGATCAGATCGTATCATACAACACCAGACTACATGAAATAACAATGATCAGATCGTATCATACAACACCAGACTACATGAAATAACAATGATCAGATCATATCATACAACACAAGACTACATGAAATAACAATGATCAGATCGTATCATACAACACCAGACTACATGAAACAACAATTATCAGATCGTATCATACAACACTAGACTACATGAAATAACAATGATCAGATCGTATCATACAACACCAGACTACATGAAATAACAATGATCAGATCGTATCATACAACACCAGACTACATGAAATAACAATGATCAGATCGTATCATACAACACAAGACTACACGAAATAACAATGGTTAGATCAAGGAATGCAATAACACAAGCTAAATAAAAAACTATAACAATGATCAAATCATATAATACAACAACACCAGACTACATGAAATAACAATGTTCAGATCAAAGAATGCAATAACACAAGCCTAAGTAAAACATCTGTCACAATGACCAAATCATGCAATACAATACCAGACTACATGAAACAACAATGGTCAGATCAAATGATGAAATAACAACTACAGATGACAAAACATCTTTTGAGCTGGATTAGGCAGTATGTGTTTAAAGTATGGACTTAGTCCACAACAGATGCAAAACAAGAATGTTCAGATCATATCAAACACACTACCTCGATTGACAAAAGCACAGATGAAAATCATTTCTTAGGTTAAAAAGAGTCATTAAATAAAGTAGCAGAAAGATCACACACTAAAATACTTCTACATCCCTCTGAATGAATAAAACAGTAAAATGTTGTATTGTATATTATAATGTAGGTGCATGGTTTTCTTTCCACATTTTCACAAGTTTCCAGTACAATATCAGCAATTGAGATGGTAACCAATAACTTAAGTGGGGAGAAAAAAAGGTGAAGAAAACCCTTACTTTTTGTTATATTATACATGTACCATGCATATTATGAATCTACATCAACAACTGAAGGCATATTTTATTGAGTACATAAAATAATTTATTACGTACTGAATAAACACTCCCCATATTGAACTAATCATTTTTAAAATACTTTATCATGTACTGAATAAACACTCCCCATATTGAACTAATCATTTTCATATATTAGAATGCTCAAAGCTTATACAAGTTTGTACATAGTGAGAAATTTCAAATTCCTTACCTATTTCATCCCTCCTGTGGCTTACAGCATTAACACTAATACTACACACCAATCTCAAGGATTCCCTGGGGAAAATGAATCACATGTCAAACATATCAGCAAGTTCTTAGTTTGAAATGCAAGTACTTGAACATCCAAAACCCAACAATGTAAATGATACATCTAAAAGAGATGAGCTTAATACAGAGGTATACAAATGAATTTACTTAAGATGTGTATTTTTAAAAGTTAGAATGTTTAATTTTATTTGTAGTTTCTTAACTGAATTATATACGGATATAATTCCAAATCTCTATATTATAAATAAATTTTTTCATCACTTATGTTAAATCTACTCTTCAAAATCATCATGCATTAAAAATGTTGGTAATCAGTGATTTTTGAGTACTTCCACATGCACCACCTTCTTGAATCGGTAAAATCCTTAATGATGCGAGGTGTTGGAGGAATAAAATAAAACTTAAATAATACAACTTACCTGAAAAAGCATTTTATTTCATTATCTTTGTATGCCACAAGTATGTATGAGGGTGGGGGTGTAATGTCATAAATAGAGAGTCTGGGTGTGGCAACAGCAACAACTGGAGAGCTGGATGACGATGAAGCATGATGTCGCCAACCCTAAAACATAAATACATCTATAATTCAAGGTAAACATAGAAATTATGACAGGTAATAGTGTCCTTATAGCATCATATGTTTACTAAGCAAAGTAAGTATAAATCAAACAAGAGAGATTGTAAAATACTTGCTCTGATAAAAATGTCTTTTTGATCACTACATTCATTGTTATTGAGGTTTCTCTCTATTATATGTCACATATTAGAAACTTACAAGTATTAATGTATTCCTATCATACTTTTAACCACTAGGCCTTTCGAGCAGCTATGCACTATACAATATGTATACTATTTGTGTAATTTAGGTTGAAAAGTCATCTTTCTTTTAAATGGTAAGTTCCAAAATAACTAAAAAAAGGGCAGTACAAACACAATGCCTTTCATTCTTAATATTCAAGTTCCTTTCCAAAAGATTAATAGTATTTCTATTTTCTATATAAAGTGTTAAACTTAATAAGTCAACAAGTTAGCTACAGTTTCACTTACAACACTAGCTTTTGGAGAGCAGTCACTCCATCTGTCAACAAGATCTCAAAAACTGAAAACTAGGCTCTGGGGTTTTTTTTTGCCTGCTGTTTTTTGTCATTTTGATTACTCTTGTTGTTATTATTTTCTCTTCCCTACCTCTCACTCAAAGTTTTTCAAATTGTTTTATTATCTTCATGTATTAATTCTAAACATCACATATTTGTTCTCCAACCTCCTGTTTTCATATAAAGTAAACAAAAGTTATAAAAAATTTTTTCTTTAGTTTTCAGTCATTTCTTCTGAGCAGTTTAATTTTTCTAATCTGAAGGACATTTTCCAAATATAAAGTTGCATTTATTTTTGTTTAAGTACAGTTAAAACTAAATACTGATGGAGAAAATGTGGTAAAAATTTTGGTCAAAAGATGTTTATCATTGTTTTTAAATGTTACTTGTTAAAGCTACATTTATATGTCTTTGTGGTTTGTGTTACTTCTAGCTGTGTAAGCAAGCTCTACTTTCTGCTTTGTTTTTGTTTGTTTTGTTTTTGTAATTTCGCGCAAAGCTACACGAGGGCTATCTGCGCTAGCCATCCCTAATTTAGC